TCCATCTGTGCACCCCTAACCTAAAAAAGGCAGGTGGCAATCTGGAAATCATTCCAATCTTTTCTCCTTGTAGTACTGGGAATCAAGTCCAGGGTAATGCTAAAAGCCTCTAAGCTATACCTCAGCCCCAAACACCCATTTCTGATTATTTGATAATTTTGATGACTTTCAAAGGGCTTTATTGCACTGTGGCTGCATATGGCAGCTCCGGAAAGAAATGTGCCTCTTGAATTAACGCCAAACTTGACGGATTTTTTTTCCACATGTAAATAAATACTCTTTAATCAAAATGTTCTATTGTAACATTCCTTGCTTTAGTAAGTCCCTTCAAATATCCATTCAAGATTTCTTTCTGTATATAAAGTCATGAGAAGGACTAGTTTGATTTTAGTGAATAAAAAGTTTTACTGTAAGTAAGCCAGGAGCTGGTGGTTCATGCCTGTAATCTTAGCTACTCAAAAGGCTGAGATTGGGGGGGGTCACAGTTCGAAGCCAACCTGGGCAGAAAAAAATTTGTGAAACTCTTATCTTCAATTAACCAGCAAAAAGCTGGAAGTGCCAGCCTTGAGTGAAAAAGCTAAGGGACAGTGCCCAGGCTCTGAGCTCCAGCCCCAATGCCAGCACGCGTGTGTGCACATGTGTGCGCACACACACACACACACACACATTGTAACTATAAAATTAAAAAGTTAATGGTGAAGGTAATTTCAGTGTAAACTAGATTTGTTTTCCAGGTTAATTCTATTCCCTTAGGATCAAGGGTGGGGAACATCAGGCTTTGGGGCCCATCATTTGATACTTGACACACAACGGGCCAGACATGTGTTTGCTGCCACAACTCTCTGCCTATCTTGGTATTTTTGTATGGCCCTTGAATGAGGTTATAAATATCCACATGGCCCTTGGCAGAAGAAAAGCTTCCGCCTCTGCAAGATGCAGGTGTCTTGCTTAATTGGCTTTACTTCTCTCACATTTTCCTTTCTGTCTCCTCCAGAAACACTTTCAATGACAACTCATTTTTATTTCTTTCCTTCTGAGACTAAAAGAGGGAAGGTGTGAAAGGGAAAAACTTGATGGTTGGGTAGAGAGTTCTAAGAATGAAGTCTTTAGAAGATTGTATAGTCACCACTCAGTGCTTGGAAGGTCTTGATTCTCTCCTACTTTAGGCTTCTAACCCCTCTACTGTTTCCCTTTTCCCCATTTAAACTGATGGGAGGAAAAGAAAGTGTTTATACTAGTATTTAGCAAGTTTTTTTCTTTAAATGCTTCTACTTAAAAAGTAACTTCTTGGGGCTGGGAAGGTGGCTCAGTGGTAGAGCGCTTGCCTTGCAAGCCTGAGGCCTTGGGTTCGATTTCTCAGCACCACATAAGCAAAAAGAAAAAAGCCGGAAGTGGTGCTTTGGCTCAAGTGGTAGAGCGCTAGCCTTGAGCTGAATAGCTGAGGGACAGTGCTCAGGCCCAGAGTTCAGGCCCCACGACCGAACAAAAAAAAAAAAAAAGTAACTTCTTGAGACTTTTCACTTCTAAGGGAATCTGCCTAAATTTAATAACAACTCAAATTTTCTTTAAGAAAAAGACAAATGACCTGTGGTTTTCAATTGCTGGGTTTTATTAAGATATTGGCAAAATTTCAACATACTCCTTACCTGCATAATCAGTTTTAATAAATAAAATATGAAGGATCACTTATGATTACAACTCAACTCAAAAGTGATCTGTAGAGCAGGTTCATAAATTGATAAATTTACTTGGTAAGAAATGATTTCACTTCATTCACTTCACTCCGTAGAGAATTCTTTGCAGAGAATTGTCAGGAACAAGAGAAAACGTATCTCACCAAAGAGCACCTAGAGAGGTTTACAATGATGTATTTGGATTAGCTAATACATCAAAGATAAAGTATTTCTTTTTCAAAAACAACTGCTATGTCAGTCTGGAATTTCCCGTCCGATTTCTTATTTTAATTAATACAGTAGTCTTTGAAATAAAATGCTGCAGGAGGAAGTAACAATTATTTTTCTCAATACAGTACCATTTGTCTGGAAGATAGTTGTGTTATAATACTGGCAGTATCATTTTGTTTTGAAAAATACATCTTTTCACAGGTCAGTACAGAAGAGAAGTTATTTCTTTAAGCATCACATGGTTTTCCAAAATTGAAAAGATGTTTTACTAGTTTTATGTTCCAAAGAAAAATTGTCCCAAACTAAAGTGTGAACAAAACTGTAGTATTCCCTTTTATAGCCTTGCTTTAGATTAAAATGCTTATTGAACAAACAAGTTTAAAAAGTAAAATCAAAATTTAGATCATTTCCTCACAAAACCTCAGCAAGCCTTAGATGGGGAAGGAAGTTCTTGAACCACAGTAGTTTTATCTGTAAACACTGATTTCTACTTCATGCATCAGTTTCTTCTGCCATTGGATGTCACACTTCTTACTGGCACAGTGTTCTAACAATGGAATGTGTTTGTCATGAAAATGCAGTGTTGAAAGTATACCACTATAAATGTGGTCAGGATTAGACTCATTGTTGACATTGACATTGTTGACCTTGTCCTTGGAAAAGATATTACTTTCAAGGAGCCTCCTAAATTAAATGCAACAGGAACTTTAATCATATTACTTCAAGGACAATGGATGGCACTTTTAGGTAAAGAAAAGGTATATACATACATGTTTCTATCTGACCTCTAGTACAGACCTCAGTGGCATTAGTAGCCCCAGTATTTGGGGCTGTATCATTGCCTGAGCTCAGATATCCCTCAAAAGTACACATCTAGAAAGTGAAAAACAAAACCTTTAGTGATTGACTCCCTTTGAAACTCACAGTGAATGTACAAAGAGTATTAACTTCAGTTGGTGACTTGAAGTCTGTGTCCCTATCCAAGACTACACTTTCTTGTTTGTATTTGTTTTACTATTTCCTAGTCTAACAAAACTTGTTTAGCAGGCAAACAAATTGATGCAGATCATGTTAAATTGAAAAAGGGATTCTGTCACTCTTTAAAGATTGAGTATAGAACTTTCACCACCACTAAATTACACAATGAATAGAGATACAAAACACTTAATTCAGACTATAGCTCAGCATTTACAGTTAATATATATTATATACTTTTATATCTGTCTAATATTTTTACAATCACCACATACACCATCATTAAATAGAAGTTACAGAAATGAGGAGATACCATTAATTAGAGGGTTACTTATTGCTTACGTTAGCAAGCAGCAGATAAGGGCATAGGATTTGAACTTGAGGGAACTACTTTTCTATCACCAGTGGCATTAAGGTATAACACTGCATTTCACAAAGCACTGCTTTTTAAAAAATCTAGTTTATAGAACCAAGAGCAGCATGTATCAGACCAATAACCACTACTTTAATGTGTATTATAGAATTTTAAAGGACTTACCTTACAAATGGTTCCTAACTACCCTACAAATATGCATGTTGTGAACAAATGAATATTTGCTATTTTTTACAATATTGTTTTATTAACTTGACCACACTAGAGCTACTTTTCTCTATTTTCTAGAGAGCTAATGGTATGGAAATAACACTGTTATATAGTCAGACCTACAACCTCCAGACCTTCAGAAATGGACTGTGTTTTTCCCAGTTTCCTCCACTCCTTTTTTCCCCACTTTAAAAGCCTATTTTGTGAACTTTCACCTTTGTTCTGATCAAAAATAGTACCATCAACCACAGAAAATTAAAATTTACTAAATGTTTGGCTATAAGTGTATACCAATATTTTGCTGCCTCTGTTTTCTTGTTCCTTAAATAATTCATTTGAAACTGACACTTGCATCTGATGGGTTGTCAACAAGATCTAGGCTTTAGAAAATGAGATAAGAGGTTCATATGTGGGGTAAAGCCTCAGAATGATGAAAAGTTCTAACACTATATAGTTGGAGCCATGTTTATTCACTTCTTTTCACCCATGTGTCACAAGACTTGAGGGAAAAAGTGACTTCAAGAGAAAAATACTGAAAATCTACTTACATACAAATTTAAAAAAAAATAAAATCTGTAGATTAACAAATGAATCATTGCTAAAGTGAGGGTTTTTTTTTTAAAGTATTTGATGTAACTATACTGGCACCCATAGTGTATACAGTTATCTGTCTAAGATATGGGGATTTTAGTCTTTATTTGGGTCCAGGGAAGATAAATTGTATTAGCAAGAGCATCTAGCGCCTCCAACTGCGTGAGTGATCACTCCAGTAGCTACTCTTGTCTGTTAACATGGCCTGTCCACTGGTGACTCAGGAGAGGGAGTAGGCACAGTGTAACAGGGAGACACTCATGATTCTCAGATTCAGAGCTGCTTTACTGAATGAATCTGATCATTGGTTTATTTACTCTGCTTAGTTGAAGATATGCCTCTGGCTTTAAACTGCAGAAGTAGAATAAAGACAGATAATTTTAATTTATCAGCTATAAATAGTGAGAAGTGAGAGGCACAAAACTTATCTCTGCAGTTGCACACAGCAGGACAGTGGCTGCTCCTCCAGTATAACAGACTTTGCTCTTCTTCATATCTGCATTTTCCTTATGTTGTACTATATGCCTTTGCTGCTTGAACTTTTAAAAGTATAAAATATAGAAATGTTACTTAACTTTCTTTTTAAATGGAATTTTGACTCTTATATTTGTACCCAACATCATCTCTATTAAACCACTTTTATTCCTGAGATGAAGGTAGGGTAAAAAACACATCATAGATTAAGACCAGCATACAGTGGTCTCCTAAAATGACAAATAACAAAAAATTCCACCAAAAGCACCATAACAGGCTATAAAACTCAAGTAACTACAGCCCTAGGAAATGTATTTTAATTTTAAAATATTTATAAATGAAATAAAGATGTTCATAATTGTCATTTGTTACAGGGAAGAAAAGCAAATTTCTTTGATAATATAATGCCTTGCAAGTCTGAGAATGTGACACTTCTATACTTGCTTTCTAGTTTCATCATTGTCATTTAAAATCCATATGGCTTTTAGTCTTTCACCTTCCAAAACAAGGGGTTAGGGGAGACCCTTCAAACTCCCGTGGAGTTCTCAGCTTTAATTCTGCATTAGGTTTCCCATAGATAGATTAGGCACATCAGAGCAGATTTCAACCCTCTATATCCTGACTGAAGTAACTTCCACTAGTGATGTGAAGGGGTAGTGGACAAGAGGATTCTATGTAGGTGTAGAGACACATCACAGGAACCAGTTGTATAATTTTGCTAGTGAAACTGCCAATACTTTTTTTCAAGTCGAAACACTATTTGAGTTTCCTAGAGATCTATTTACATTTAAGAATCGAGCCTCCATGGATTCATAATGAAGCACATGTGCTTTAGAAAAATGTCTACCTTGTTTCTACTTTGATAGTGGTATTTTTAATTGAGAGCTAGCTAGCCTACTTGAAAGAAAAGGTACTATATTTTATAGTTCCAGGAAAGATCTGGGTATGGAGTATTATTATTCTTTCTGACCTTCTTTATTATATTCTCACTGTACCCTTGCCAACTATTTTCCTTCTGTGGCACAGAACTTAACATTCTGTTTCTCTTCCCACTTCGAATAAGTGAGGACAGGCTAATGCCTATTTTGTGAGAAGGCTCTTGAGCAGAGAGAAATGAATAAAACTTTGGATTAAACCTGAACCCATGCTGCCTCTTAGAGTGGTAGTGTAAATGATATTTTGAAACTCTTTTTCCCAGGGATTTGAACTGTTCTCTTTCCAACCCAAAACAGACAGGAGATGAGCTCTCCATTCTGTATATATGTTGCTCTGTTGAACCCAAATTAAAAGAAGCCAGAAACTCTCCTGTACCATTCTGTTCCGGCAATGATGATTGAACTGATTTTTCCTCCATTATTAGCTCATTTGTAAGATTTGCTTTCTTTGGTATACCAGGCCCAAACATTTCAACTGGTGGCAAAAACTGGGCACTGTGAGGTTTGCTTGCTTCTATTTGTGTAAGATCTAGGTAGCCCGGGTCTTCCAGCACGTTGATTTGGGACCCTGGGCTCAGGCTAGTTCTATCAGTGAATGAATCCACGCGCCCATCATAGCCTAGATCGGCTGGTGCTGAGCACTGGTGCTGGGGCCAAGGGCGTTTGCACTCTCCATGATTCTCCTTATCATCCCCACCATCTTCTTGCCCTCCTTGAAAAGAGTTCTCTGTCCAATCTGATTCCTCACTAACATTTACAGCTTTGTTCATGTCCCTCAGGAATACCACAATGACAGTGATGTTATCACTTGACCCAGCATCACGAGCTGATGCCACTAATTTGTGGGCAACCATGCTGCTGTCTCCATTATTCTCTTTCAAGTGGTCAGACACAACTTTCACTGCCTCATCGGGGTTTACAGTATCATAGAAGCCATCACAAGCTAGAATGAGGTAGTCTTCAGTCCCATCCAAAACAGTAGAGGCAGAATCTGCATCCCCACAAATATATGGCTTATGTTCAGCATCTCCTGTGGGAATTAGTGTGACATCAAAAGACACTTTGATTAGAATATTTATGGCATATCTGATAATTTAATGGATGTCTGATAATTTAATGGAAAGGATTACAAAATAATTTAGATAAAACACTTGAGTTCTCTAAGAGAACACCTTACTCCCAGTTAAATAATTGCTAGTCATGGAGCTTCAGTCTTTATCTAATTTATATACTCTGAACCTTGTGTGTCTATGATTTTAGGCTCTACTGACTATGGAAACAAGCAAGTCAAGACAATTTGTTGGCTGTACTGAAAAGTTCAACCATACACAGGAAAACTTTTTTGATTCAGTAGATCTATTCTTTTACTGGTGCTTACGTTTTGTTTGGTTTTGGTTGGTTGGTACTGCTACTGGGGCTTGAACCTGGGATGCCTTTGAACCATAATCTTCAGATCTCAGCTTCGTCCTGAGTAGGTAGGATTTTTTTTTGAGGGGGTGGGGTGGGGGTGGAGTGCCAGTCCTGGGGCTTAAACTTAGAGCCTAGGTGTTTTCCCTGCATTTTTTTTTCTCATACCTAGCACTCCACCACTTGAGCCACAGCTCCACTTGGGGCTTTTTGAATAGTTTATTGGAGATAGCCTCATGGAATCTTGATCCTCAGATCTCAGCCTTTGAGCAACTAAGATTACAGGCATAAACCATAGGTACTTTAGGTTTTATTTAATTGCAACTTAAGAACAAGTCCATATTGAAAACACAAACCACAGTTCTAGCTGTTGTTGTTAAACAATTTTGGCTCTACCTTTATTTAGAAATCAATGACTAGCTCCATGTTGTTCTTGTAAGGTTACAAGAATTTAAAAAATCAATTCCCTCTATTCCAAGGCTTCATGCAAGATAACTAGAATGCAATGTGTTTGGTTTCTAGCCCAACAAGCTTTCAATTGTATGCTGTTTTATAACTTTTAGAGAACAAAGAGGAAATCCATAGACATTTTTTTTTTGTCTTCAGAGGATACCTTATTTTTGCTTTCTTAATGTGTCTGGTTATCCACTTCTCTGTCTTTATTTGTATTGTTCATACATACAACTTATTAACAATTGTGAAAACCTCCAAGGCAACATTTCTTTCCTTATCTCACTGAATGATATCTGACCTGAGTCTTGAAAAGAGTCAGTTACCACAAAGCAGAAGTTTCACCAGGCACCCGTGGCTCACACCTGTAATCCTAGCTACTCAGGAGGCTGAGATCTGAGGATTGAGGTTCAAAGCCAGCCCAGGCAGGAAAGTCCATGAGACTCTTATCTCCAATTAACCACAAGAAAATCGGAAGTGGTGTTGTGTCTTATGTGGTAGACTGCTCACCTTGAGCTGAAGAGCTCAGAGACAGTGCCCAGGCCCAGAGTTCAAGCCCCACACCAAAAAAAAAAAAGCAAAAGTGTCTTGCTTGAGCAAGCATACACAAAGACAGAGGCAACCTGTTAGGAAGCAGTGTGTAATCAAGACTGCAGACATGAGTTCCACATAAAAAGCTAGGTCTCTATATGGACTACTGAGATAATTGATCATTTGCAATGCCTTTGGAACTTTTCAGCTCTAGAACACTACCAGATCTACTCATTGTTTACATTCATTGTTTTCCTTTACATATTTGGAGAGAACCTAATAAGTATCTTTAACCACTTAAGCTATATGAAAAGTAGTGGTGTGTAATTTAGTGGCTGAGCTCCAAATTCTAGCACTTGCAGTTATTACCTACACAACTCATTATTACTGTTCTTTCTATTGCACTAAGATGAAGATAAGTAAACCATGATTTTGATATCAGTTTTAGATTCTTTCTTGCTCAAAAAAGATTCCTTTCCAACATGTCACTTCACTGCATAATCTTCACATAGGTCAGAAAGGTCAAGAGAAACCTTGTGGCTAAATATATTATTGCCAATGTGGGCAACACGTACTAACCAGTAAGTTGCTTGACTGGATACCAGAACAGATAATTACTTAATTTACCTTAGTAAACCTATAAATATTCAACTTCACTCCTGTTATCAAATTTATAACTCCATTACCTCATTCATCTCTAAAGACTCCATTATTTGGTTTTATTTTTTTGTTTTAGTACCAGTCCTGGGGCTTGTACTCAGGGACTGGGTGTTGTCCCTGAACTTTTTTGCTCAAGGCTGGTGCTCTACCACTTGAACCACAGAATCACTTCTGACTTTTTTTTTCTGAAGTTAAGTAGAGATAAGCGTCTTATACTCACTATCTTGCCCATGTAATTGTAACCCCTCTGTATGGTATATTCACAATGATAATTTAAAAATGTAAAGAAAAAAAAGAGTCTCATTCTTATCTCTCTGAGATAAGAATCTGCCTGGGCTGGCTTGAAACCACACTCCTCAGATTGTGAGTAGCTAGGATTACTGGTGTAGGCACCTAGCCATTCATTATTTTCTAATAGTCAAAACCATCTTGTTCAAGTATGGTTTTGATTTCATACCAACTTCACTTTATTATGATGCCTCCCAATAGACTGTTGGAGATAATTAAAACTTCCAATCATGAGATTCTGTTTTCTCCACCAGTTTACTTAATTTCTTCTATTCTACCTGACTGAATTATTATTTTCTGAATGCCACCTCTAAAAATAAATATGATCTGAGTCATACTGTTCCCCAAAGTCTTGTTTTAGTGCTACAATTAAAAGACTACTGCAACTGTTAGTTTGGAACAGAACATACAAAGATTTGCACAGAGAAAATGCTGCCAAAATTCTGGCTTTTCACCTGCTGTACTGTTGGGTGTCAAATTCATGACATTTCGCCCCCAAATTTGGTAGGAGGGCATGAATATCCATTTCATGGTAGAAATGCCAACATCCTTTTGTCTTCAACCTCCTCCCTCCATATGCTAGAAAGCCTACTATGCCTCTGTCAGCTTTGGATCATATATCTGAAGGACTCATGAGGAGAAATCAGCTGAGAAGTTTTTAAAAGCTGTTATTTTGTATTTTTTATGTAAAGATGGTCCACGCTCTATGTAGTCCCTTCTCTTATTTAGTCCCGTGTTTCATGAGCTTCCCATATATTCTGCATCTCTTTAATTGAGTTAAACAATTAGGCTTTGGAAGATGCACTAATGTTCTGCTTCAGTAAATTAAGCTTGTCACAACTGCATTTCCACAATTCCTATATCCAACTTTTTTACTTTGTAGAGATTCACCTATATCTATTTCTGCTACCATTTTCTCAAAGCCAGATTTATCCCTTTTCCTTCTCAAAGCTAAACTTGAAGCCGGATGCCAGTGGCTCACGCCTGTAATCCTAGTTACTTAGGGGGCTGAGATCTGAGGATCACGGTTCAAAGCAGCTTGGGCAGGAAAGTCCATGAGACTTTTTTTTTTGGGGGGGGGGGTCCGGTCGTGCTGAACTCTGGGCCTGGGCGCTGTCCCTCAGCTCTTCAGCTCAAGGCTAGCACTCTACCACTTGAGCTATTGCCACTTCCGGCTTTTTTCTTTTTGCTGACGAATCGAACCCAGGGCCTCAGGCATACAAGGCAAACGCTCTACCACTGAGCCACCTTCCCAGCCCTAAGTCCATGAGACTTTATCTCCAATAAACCACTAGAAAGCCAGAAGTGGTGCTGTGGCTCAAATGGTAGAGCACTAGCCTTGAGCTGAAGAGCTGAGGGACAGTGCCCAGGCCCAGAGTTCAAGCCCTACAACCCACAAAACAAACAAACCCAAAAAACATTTCTTACATGACCTTTAAGCATTTAACTCTTCCCTACTTACTCCTAGGAGACTTCTTCTCTAAGCATCTGCAATATCCCAAAAGTCCATGTCTTTGATCCTTTCTTGATTTTCTCCAGTCCTTTCAACGTAATAGCACCAACAATCAGTGTATGCTAAGACTGTGCCAGCATTGTGCTGCTTCAAAATATGATATATATACTATACCACTCAATACAAAATTTCTGTGAGCTTGGTACTGTTACTGTCCTGTCTTTGCAAAGAGTGATAAGACACTGAGGAGTGAAATTTCCATGGTCTTGAAAGTAGTAGAACCAAGATAAAGACCCAGACACCTGACCATGTTATTCCATCTTAATTAATAAACTTTATTTTCATAATTCAACATAACATTCCTGGGCAATGTCATCTATGCCTACAGTTTCAGATACTTTTTGCTAATATTTCCAAGATGGAAAGAAGTTATCAAGTCTATCTCCAACCTACGATTTTCAAACTCCAGATCTGAATTTCCAACTGTGTACAAGATATCCCATCAACACCTAGAATATAAAATACAGTATTTTATATTTATACTCATTATCTGTTATCTCTTCCCCAGAGCTGTTCCTGCTTTATTATGTTTTTGTCTGTCATGGGGCCTGAACTTAGAACCTAGGTGCTGTCCCTGAGCAATTTTTGCTCAAGGCTATAGCTCTACCACTTTGAGCCACAGTACCACTTCCGGCTTTCTGGACATAAGTCTCCATGGGCTTTTCCTGCCTTGACTGGCTTTGAATGATCTCAGCCTCCTGTGTAGCTAGGATTACAGGTGTGAGCCACCAGCACCCAGCTGCTGCTTTATTTTTTTTTTTTTGTTTTTTGTTTGTCGGTCGTGGGGCTTGAACTCTGGGCTTGGGCGCTGTCCCTCAGCTCTTCAGCTCAAGGCAAGCGCTCTACCACTTGAGCTACAGCACCATTTCCGGTTTTCTGGTGGTTTATTGGAGATAGGAGTCTCACGGTCTCTCCTGCCCGGGCTGGCTTTGAACCG